AACGGTAGCTCGAAAAGGCGGGAAAACGAAAAGGGAGGGGAAGGGGTAAGTTCAATCCCTTGCTACTGTGACGTTGAAAATAAATTTTTTATAGTCCACCGCGCCAGAAAATCGAGAACCGAAAATCCATCCTCTTTTGTCGGTCGATACCTCGAAAAGACGTGAAAGCGAAAAGAAAGAGGGCGGCGCTCGATCTCGCCTGTTCCAGGGCGAGTTCAACCCAGCCGGGCGCCCGGCCGTTGCGGGCGTCGAAGTCTCCGGGCCTGACGGGCGCCGACACGCGGAGTGGCACATCGATCGACTCCCGGGCCATTCTGGTCGCGCGATTTCGTCAAACTTTTCGACAGGTCGATGTTTCGTTCCCCGACAGAGAGAACGGATCGATAAACGAGCCTGTCAGAAACATCGACGCAGCTTTCAAACGTTTCAACGGGCGGACGCGCGCGGAGTCCCGATGCGAGATAAAACTACTTCGAGTTTCGCCGTCGAAACTAGTTTCGTCACACGGCGCGAGGCACCGAGGCGCCATTGCATTCCGGATACCCCCTTCTAACGGGCGGTGAATTTCTCCGCTCGAAGTTACGGGCAAAAATTCCGGATTCGAGAGCCCCTCGAGATACCCGCGCGTCTTCCCGCCTCTTGAAGAAAAGCATACGAAAGAGAAACCACCTCGCGACGCCGGAAACCGCCCGTCAAGCGACGATCAACGCGCTCGCGAGTACCTATCGGTGGATTCTCGATTCGCGAGTCGATCCGCAGGTCGCCAACGGCAATTAGAAGGAACTCGCGGGGGTCAAAGGTGCGCGACGGGGGCAAGAATGCCCCCGGAGGAAGAAAGGCCGCGCTCGGGCGCGTTCTTTATGACATACGCGACGCGCGCACGCATAATCCATTTCTTCCCGTGCATTTTTCTCCCGGTAAAAGCCGGGGCTCGGCGACAAGCTATTTCCTCGCCTTTTTTTTTTTTGTACCCTACCCCGTTATAATGCGGAGATGCGACGCGCGGGCAATAGCGGGGAAGAGATGTTTCGTCGGCGCGATCGTCGGCCGGCTCGGCCAAATAAATCCTCCGTATATGCCGGAGGCTCTTAACGCGGGCATTTTTTCGAGCGATTCCGCGTCCAAACTCATTTCCCCGACCCTTGGCTGTTGTACAGAACGAGAGGCTTTACTGCGTTTCCGACTAACCGCCTCCTCTCGCGCGTCCTTCCACTCCCGCCGCTCGGAAATGGACTCCCTCTCCCTCTCCGGCTCCCACCGCGTCCCTTTCCTCCTCGTTCTCTCTCGCGCGGCGTGCACCCAAGTGCTCCCGTCTCGCTGTAATACATTCACGATTCCAGACCGATCGTAAAAGTCACCGAGACGCCGGTCTCAAAGACCGAGGGCAAGACGAGTGGAGGGAAAAAGAGAGAGAGACCGAGCTCCGTCTTGGCCGGGGCCCACGATGCTGCAAGAACCGAGCCGACTCTCGGTGCCCGTTTTGCGAGGATACCCGAACCTTCGATCGGCTCGGAGTATTCATCCGAGTGGGCCCAATTCCCTCAGAATTTTACAAAACGACTCGCGTTAATTACCCACTACGTTGTACATGCGTTTCTACGTGCCCCTTTCGGCCATTCGTCGAGTCCTCCACCGCGTCTTCTGATCGAGTTAACGCACCTCGTTCTGTCGCTCATCCGATTCGTCTCCATAGTCCCCGATCAGAAGCAGATCATTTTCGATAACACTCGAAATTCTGGATTTTCCGACGGAGGCGATTTCCCTCCTTGAAATCGAGGAAATGGAAAGCAAAAGTCTTGAGAGCGAGCCCCAGCAATAATCGGCGCAGGATAAAAAGACAACGCGTTGTCATAATTTGACATGAGGCGAAAGGAGACCCCCTTCGACCTCGAGGTCCTCTCCGAGCGAGGCAGGACCGCTAATTTCGACGTCGCTCACACTTTTTAACGACGCCCCGGACCGTCCATGCGACGTGGCCGATCGGCGCGGTCGGGGTCCTCAGAAGTCGGAGCGCGGAAGTCTAAAAATGCAAATTTCAGCGGCGATGCAGCTAGGATAAGTCTTAATTAAGATCAAGCCACGTCGCTATCGTTCAGGGCGAATCTGGAGGCCGGAGTCGGTCCTGGATCGACCAGGACTCTCGCGACGACTCGTTCACCATTCGGCGTTGGGAATTATGCCGATCAGGAGGAAGGATACACCTTTCTGCCGCACTTGCCCTCGGAGTGGGACGACTTCGGCGATAGTTTTCGCGATGATTGCGCGTAATTAGAGCGGAAGCATTAGCGATACTCTAGCGGGTGATTATGCGCCCGAGTTGCCTCCTTCGTCCTGACCGCGGCTTAATCGACCCAAAGGATATCTCGGACCAATCAGGATGTTCCGTTAGAGACGCGAGTAGCCGATCGTCCGGTTCTCCTCGCGAACTTCGGCCGTGCACTTCGGTCGTTCGCTGAGAGCCTCGGAGTTGAAATTGTCGGCGCTTTTAACGCGCCGCAGAGGGAGAGAGAGAGGACGGCTGAATTTCTTCCTACTGGTGTAAGTCACCTCGGAATCCGTATTTCGCCGCGTACCGCGGAATTATCGCGCAATGAGCAACACCTCGGAATGAGCGTGCCGAATCGAAAAGCGATGGGTAAGGCGGTCTCGCCATTAATACAGACATTTTTCTTATTCTTATTTTTCTTATTATACAAAAATGTTTGCACCTGCCCGTAAAATCAACACTTTTGTCGCGGAGATTAAGTAAGACTTGCAGGAAAACATTGCCGACCCATTATGAAGCGTCTACGATTATCGAACTCAAGCGTTTCCCCATGGCCCTGATTTTTTCCCCGCATGAACGATTGACTCGTCATAACGAGCCCAGCCTTATCACGACGCCCAGAACGGGGTGAGCTTGAATCGAGTCGAAGAAACCGAAGATAACCAGACCAGCTCCAAACTCCGTACTAAAGTCTCTCTCAGTCAAAATATCGGCGGCGCTTTCAACGCGCCGCTACGACCGGACGGTCGATTATTTACTCCTAATGGTGTAAGCCACTTCGGAATCCGTATTTCGCCGCGTCCCGCGGAATTATCCCGCGGCGAGTAACCCCACGGAATGAGCGCGGCGAATCGAAAAGCGATGCGCGATAACGCGGCACCGCCGTTAATAAAGACATTTTTTTTTCCCCTTCGCCTTCCCGTCGCTTTTCGGCCCGGGTAAAAACCGTCCTTGGGGCGCACTCCCGATAAATCCTCGCCCCGGAGGAGGCCGCGAGGGGATATGCTCGTTATCCCGAGATCGAATCGTCCTCAGGAAGGGCCAATAAGGGGAGGGGGGGGGCCCTCTCGCGATTTTTCGGCGGCCCTTTCGGAGCCAGGGCCGCATTAATCCGAGTGCACGGTCGTCACGGGCCTCGCGACAAGGCGACGATAATTTTGGCGGAGTGGCTTTGGCGTCGGCGTCGCCGGCGAACCGACACGGCCTCTTATTCAAACGGCGAGAAACCCGGCGAGGCGCGTCACGGCGGCAGCGTCGCTTTGAGAAATTGATTCACTTAGGAGCCGGCTCTTTCGCGGGTTCGTTCAACGACCCGCGGAAATCGTAGGGGATTTCGCGCTAAAACTGCGAGTTCCCCCCGACCCCCTTAGCCGTCGCACAGTTTCTAATGAAAAATCAAGACCAGCGCGAGAACGCGGCGAATCGTTCCGTCGAGGAGCGTAAATAACTCCCTTGCGACGAAACGATCCGCAATATCAGCGGATTGGTGGCGACACTTATTACTTCGAGACCTTCCACAAATTCGGTAATAGAATTCCCGTCGGTCCGAGGGAAATCTATTTAGCCGGCGCATTAAGGGAGGTTAAGTTCCGAGGGTATAATTACGTTTTCAGGGGCATCGTTAGCGCCCTCTCGACGACTCGGTGAAAACGATCAATCTCGTAAAGGATCCGCCTTATTTCGGGAATTTTTAAACGCGGCGCACTTCGGTAGGAGAGAGAGAGTTATCGGCGTCGGGTGCGTCTCCGGGCGTAAGTAGAGCGGTTTTAGAGAGGGACGACAGATCACGGGGATTTGAACGACGGCCGTTAGGCTCTAAGACGTCGACGTAAACGGCACGTCGAGGGTATTATCGCCCGATGACTGACGTATCCCTGTCAATTTAGCGACTCGGGTTGCCCTCGCACGGCAGAAATTACCATTGACCGCAGCCCGCGTTTCAACGCGGCGATTCCGCGAACGTTCCACCGCCGCTTCCTGCTTTCGGCCTGGGACGAACGATCGCGGAATTCGCGTTAACCAATCAAGTCACAGTTACCCGCGGGAGTTAGGGAGGAGACCGGAATTCGCGTCCGCGGGAAGAATGAAAATAACCGCATTTTTATCCGCAACACCGGCCCGGTCCTTTGCACTCCAATTACCAGCCAAACACCTCCGGTAACGCGAAGCCGTTCTACTCCGACTACCGGCACTCCTGGCCTCGAGGAACGATTTTTTCTTTTCCTTTCTTTCATAATTAAACCGATGAAAATGAATAATACCAAGCGATACCGTTACTCTCGCGAGCTATCGCATTTACAGGGCGTTAACCCGAAGCGTACTTTCAGGAACCGTCCTTATATCGGTGTCTCCCGAATACGAATCGTTTCTTCCAACGGTTGGGTAAAAATCCCCCGAATACACGATCGGGACGAAGGGTCCGACGAACGATATTTTCATTCCACCTGCGTTCGGTCCCCTCTAAGAAAACCCCTTTCACGGCGCGCCGCACATAGCGGGAAATATTTCCTCACATCCGACCGGCGCCCTTTCCACTGCGCTCGAAATCGAGATTCGCGCTTTCCGGGAGGTATCCAAATCCTCATGTCCTGAAAATCCATAAAAGTCCAAATCCAACGCCCTGCTCGCGGGTAAATCCGGCAAAAGAGCGCTCCTTCTCCGGGAGGGTACCAAAACATGGCGGAGTTAGAGCACGGCCTCCTCCTCGAAGGCAACGTCCAGCCGGGGCACTTACATGGAGTTGGTGGTGTTCCAGTACATGCTGATGGTCTTGCTGCAGTTGCTGACGGTGGAGAGCAGTACCGTTTGCAGACACACGAGGAAGACCAGGGTCACAAAGGAGGTAGACACCATGGTAGCGAGGGCCCCCTTGGCGGCGGCAGCAGCACCGCTGTATCCCACGGATCCGCAGGACCGCGAGCGAGGGCGCGCGGCCACATCCACGCGACACTGGCCCGTGGTCGCTTCGGGAGGACGGACCTCGGCACGCCGAGAGCGCCCCCTCTAGCGGGCGCTCATTCCTCCGGGGACCGCCGAGCGAGCTTCACCCCGCCGCTCTCGCCGCGCGATTCCCTCGCGAGTCGTGCCCGCCGCACCTGCCTCCTCCCTTATCCGACGCTCAGGTGCTCCGAAGCGGCCGACTCCCTCGAGGACTCCGCTGCCATCGGCGAGGGCTCCTATCGCGAGACTCGAAGGGTCCGCCGAGTTTTCTCCGAGAGGGCCGGACGCGAGTCGAGGCGGATGGACGGTAGCTGCGTTCTGCTCGCACCGTTCGATTCCGTCGCGGTGATTTTCAGAAATCGTGGCGACACGGGATCGAAGGGATGGCGTTTTGGATGGCCGAGATCACTTTTTCGACGAGTCGATGGACGTCCGCCGTGGGTCCCGGTAACGGGGACTTTAAGCGGAATTTGGCGTTGGGCGTCGTTCGACGAGAATGTATCTGCCGCGGGACTCTAGGATCGAGAGCGGATCCCTCGTTCGCGTCGGTCGACGCAGGTGCTACCAGCCGGGAGCGGTGGCCGGTGCACCGGGCGACGGCCCCGTGGGAGCCGCGCGCTCCTTGCCGCGGCGCGTCCGCCCGCGCCGGATCTAGCGTCGCCGCTCGGCCGCGTCTCGAGCGGCGCCGAAAGGGTTCACCCGAAGACCTCCGACGCCGGCCGACGCCACCCCCGGACTCCCTTCGCCGCACGATCCATGGGAACAGACGCAACTCCCGACTTTCACTATTCACGAGTAATCCCCCGAAACCAAGTCGCGTCAACCACTCTGCACCCCGATCTTCGCACTCTCCCGAGGAAACGGGCCGGCTTCACCGATTCACCTTCCACTCGCGAATCGACCGCGATCGAACCGGACGGGTCGACGACGAAGAGACGGAGTTTAGGGGGAACTCTGGACGCACAGTCCCGAAGACTTAACCACGGTCGAGACCCTCCGAGGGAAAACGCTCGCGAGACGGGATTCACGAGAACCGAGAGAAGCTCCTCTCCTGCCGAGGTCGCGGACGCGTCTGTCGGCCGAGTGCCGACCGGCCGCTCTCGGCCGGCCGAGCCGCCGCGCCGCCGCCGCCGCTCGGTCGGGGTGGCGAACGCGCCCGAACGCTCCCGGAGACGCCCGAACCCGCCCGCGGACCCTCCGTACGTGCCCAAGGCATCGCCGCGGTATTACGTTACTTACTTGCCAGCAGTCGCGAACTGCTGCGAGACTGCGTCGGGACGCTCCCGACCGCGAGATAGCTCTCGGGGAAAGTACCGGGGAAGACTACGTTCCGGTGTCGACTACGTCGGTGTCGAGTTTGTCGGGCATTTTTCGGGAGGTTACGAATCGACGATGTTAACTTTTCAAATATTTAATTTCTAATAATAAATGAAATTTTGCAAGAATTTTAGGTCTTTTGCTTGACTCTGTAAATGTCTTAAATCACGTTTTTCCGATAGGTATACTTTTCAGATTATCCACACTAAACGCGAAGAGTAAGCACCGACGAATTGTTTTTGAATTTCTAGCAGACTTAAAAGATTCACATCTCGATGATTCCGAAAATGTTTTTAAGGTACGAAGTAACGTAAAGATAGAATTTCTTTGAAATCGGTTGATTTTGCTCCTGACTGCGTTCCAGGTACTTTTGTAAGTAAAGGGAACTTTAATATCGCGCGAAGATGAATAAATTACTTTTGCAGTGGAGAGAAAGGTGTTGCCACGATTTTATTTCGTTTTAATTGGAACGAAACGATTGGTGTTGTGAACGTGTACAATTGTGACATTAACGATGTGAATGTCATTTTTATATATTTCTCGCAACGATTCTTTTTAAATAATTCGTAAATCTGCTTTTAGAGTGGCAAAGCCGATAATTATATATCGGAGATTAATAATTAAATTATCCGTGATACGCAGTAATTAATGAGACTATTTGTATTGAGATACGGCAAAATATGGATTTCAATTTTTGTGAAGTATTTTTAATGATACTCGATTATTGTCGAACATTCTACTTGTTATTGAACTTTCGAATCTGGGCGTTTTATTGGTTTCTACTATATTATACTTGGGCCTACTACTATAATACTTCAATAATTTTGCCGTTGTTTTCTTGGTAAAACGGCTGGATTTTTACGGTCATAGGTCTTCGTCCATATTTAGTTACCACAATTTTCGAGATTCTAATTAATTGTACCGGGAAGAGCTTCATATTCATGGTTTGGTACAGTATTTCCGAGAGAACTTAATATCAGACAGTATTTCATGAAGACCTACAACATTACTCGTAATTGATTCCAACTACCTCAAATATTCGAACTCTGGCATGTCAATCTGTTGGAAATCTCATTTGCAACCCCTGCGATGTTTGAAAAAGTAAAAGGGTTTTTAATAATTTCGTAAATAATCCTGTTTTGTACCCGAGACGTAAACTTCTTAATAGATTCGAGAATTTCAATTGTTTTAAGATTTACATAATTTCATCGGCAACTAAAGACCACGAATAATAATAATAAAATAGTCCAGTTAGGAATTTCAAACCGAAAATGCAATTTTTTCCCTACTTCCATTTTCAGGCATATCTAACGCGTGCTACTTCTACCTATAGGAGAACACTTAAATCGCTCCATTTATACGTAACATTTTTACGATAACTATCGGAACACTGAGTGAATGTGTGCCGAGTTGCATGAAAGTCATCATACACAGCGCATTAAAAAAGAAATGCCCAGCACGAGATACGCCCTGAGTCATCCATAGCCCACGGCTTGCATTTCGACATCATTAAAACATGGCGCATAAATCGCTTTCCTCCTAAGTACGACTTTTCCGGGGTTTTAAAAATGAAAAACAGGGGTGAACGTGCCGCCTCGTAGGGGTCCCTTCGCGGAGGGAAGGAAATGTTACAAAAGGAGGCATATCATCATCCCTTGAGGAGACACATTCTTTGAACCAGGCCGAGCCGGCAGTCGGTGTTTCGATTTCTTTCTGCCGAGCTTCATATGAAGAGAGACCGAGAAAGGAAGAGGAAGAGGGAAAGGGACGAAGTGGGCTTTTAGAGTACGAATGGATCCTCGGCGGGCGATCGCTCGAGTTTCCATTTCCTCCGCGACGTTTCCGCACGCAGACCGCATCTCCGGGGAGTTTCCGCAGGAGGCGGATCGCAGGGGCGATAGCGCAAGGAGAGCGAGAGGAAAATTAAGGAAAAGGAGAGAACTCTCCGACTTCGCGGATCTTTGGGAATGTCCGCTGCTCGGCTTGTCCTCTTCTGCATAAGTACTCGCGACTTTTATGTCTGCACGACGTTCTGCCCGTAATGGTATGAAAGGCTTGAGCGTCTTCCGGGATCCCCGAGTGGTGGCACTCGCGTGCTCTCGGATGTTTCCTTGGGAATCGGAGTGAAAACCGTGTACCGGAAACGTTTGCTCTCGGTGCGAATTTCGTGGGAGATCTATTGGAGCGTTCCAAGTCCTGGAATGCCAACTTGTCCCATGGATATTGCGCCAACTAGGCTTGCGGTTCTTCCAGTCGCGCTGGAACACCTTGTGCCAGGAATATTATTTACAATAATCGACGCCGCGTTATGGCCGGAGGAATAACGAAGAAAGGAGGAAAGGCGAGTCCGGGTCTCCGTCTTCGGGGACCGAATGCCTGCCCGTTGACACGAAACGCTTTGCCGCTTTCTAGGATCCATAAGTTACCGCGTTTATGGCACCGGTACCGCGCTGCACTTAGATATAGTAGTCCTCCGATCACGCATAAATTAATGATAGGTTTATCTTTATCTCTTCCTCTACTCCACTTCGCGCGAGAGGTACTCTAGTTGCGCCAATAAAATCAAGTGAAAGTTGCACTCCCAGCAAATAAGACGTGCGAGCCCTCCCGCTTTCTTCCGAGGCACGATGCGGAAAAGTGACGGCTATACGAGTCAAAATTGACGCCCGCAAGAGTAAACTAAATTCCACGACGCGTAGAAATATGAGTTAACCAAGTAACATGGATTACCCGGTATCGCCGAATTTTTTCACGGCTTTATGCGGTGCACTTACAAGAGGCGGTGGTTTTAAACGAGTCCGCGGTCCGTCCATTTCACCGTCGACGTCCGACTACCGCCGTTACGTTTAGTACCGTGAAGGAAATCGAATCCTAATCTCATTGACCCCATAAAAAATGTCAAAGTGTCAACCGCCTTGACTAACTCGTCGAGTCGCGCGACTTAATCCCGTAAGAGGCAACCCAGTATTTTCGTCGTAAATACTTTTCCCCGCGTTTAAGGCAAGGCCGATCGTCCGTGGAGAGTTGCTCCTGGGCAAGATAGTCCCGAGGGATAGTAAATGTCTCTCGGTCTTCTCTTTACGAAGTCATCGAGGACGTGGCGCCCTCCTCCAGAGGTCTTCCTCGGCCGGATCCTCTACATACGTACGAGTGTCTCTCGGGGGCATGCCGAGCTCTCTCTCTCTCGATCTCGGAGAACCGGTATCTACCCACGGACAGTCATGTTAGTCATTAGTCCAACTAATATAACTCTTCAAATCCTATCGAACCCCGGCACCGTGCACCTCTTCGCCACGAAAAGGTGTCCCGACGAATGTTAAGCGTCGGCCATGGACCCGAGGACACGAAATTCCTTTTCTAGGCTCTTCCAGCACTCGCGAAATCCCCGATCGCGGATATCCCAGCCGAGCATTGTCGATGCCGGACTTTCCTGAGACTTGCTTCCCCGAATCGACCAGTCGTACGTGTTGGTCATTAGTCTGACTAATGTCACGTTGCGGTTCCTGTCAAAGAGGGTGTCGCGCGAATATTAAGTGACGAGCCCTCGAGCTATAGTCATTTTCTGCCGATTTTGTCACCGGGGTTCCAGTCTCGGTGACAATGGTATGTAACCGGTCTCCGAGGAGGATATATATCCGTCGATATATATTTGTCGATACGTGTACTCTCATGGATGTTTTTTTTCTTTCTTTTTTCTTTAAGTCGGCAGAAAAATGGAAGAGGCTCGTTGGAAGAGTAAACGCGTTATTAATTGTTGATGGGTAAGTGGGATCGGAATCGGATGAGGATTGCTCGGTGTACCGAGTGTACGGGATAGCAATCTAGATCTGTAATGCTTGCGATCTAAATTACAGATCGGAATCCCAGATTGTGGCTACCGGGAGCTGTGCGTTGCTCCTTGCTCGAGGAAACCGCGTTAAATCTTTACCTTGAAGACAGCGTCATGAACCTGTGATCTTGATTTGGCGTCAAACGGTAGATCTCCTATCTGGACAGGAATCAGAAAATCGTAAGAAATAAACTTAACATAATTATTTATGCTACCTAGACGTCCAATTAAAGTCCTGCGCGTCTTCGGTAGTCGGATGGGATTGTGCAAAATATGGAGCTTGGGGAAGAATTACGTGGCCGAGGGTACGAAGGATCCGGATCGAAGTACCCTACTCGGGATTTAATAAACTCCAGTCACGTTCGGCACATCGAGATCTCTAAATCGCAGTCAAACAAACTCGGCTGGAGCTTCACTGATCCGTTTGTTACACATTTCCGCAAAAGTGACGCGCGTTTACAATGCGCCCCACTTATGGAGCCCGAGGCGAATAAAGCCGCCGATAACG